TAATGCATATTAGCGGTTGAGATACATGCACCTAAAAGTTAAATTGGAGAATAGTAGGAAAATATGCTAAAGTTTTTTAGATTTTTTAATTCAGTCATGAAAATTTCTTTATCGTTAAAGATGATGATACGGAAATCACATGTAACAATCTGGTTATTTAACATGTCAATTTTAATATTATTTTATATTGATAAAAAATACTTTTATACTTATATTATTAATGTATAAAGATAAGTAACTAAAATAATAGTCTTATCACCTAATTAAAAGTATGAACCTAAAATTTAGTTAATCCAAATAAAAAAATTAAAAATTTATGCGATTTGTATAACTAATATTTTACATGTGAATGCATGTTCGGTGAGAGTAAGAAGTAGAGAATGCAGGAAGCGCACAGATATAGGGGGAGGAGGTTGGAGAGGATCTTATTCCGAGCACGTGGGCTCAAACATCATGGGCAATGTTTGACCGTAGTAGTAAAGTTACTTAATTAACCCTAACTCTCACTACGTGCTCACATACACACCACCCGTTTCCAATTTACACATCCTACCAAAACTACCGAAAAGTTAAAAAAACAAAAACCCAAGGACCAAATTGCAAAGGTAGGCGAAATAAAAGGAAGCGATAATCCTTGATCATTCTTCACCGCTGCATCCTTGTGTTCTCTTCTTCTGCTCTGTCACTCAGAACAATCTACCCGAAGCCAAGAAGATGGCCTCACAGGTTTGCAAATCTGCTTCAAGAGCCGCGAGGTCCCTTCTTTCTGCTTCCAAAGCCTCTCGTTTTCACTCTCGTAACTACCTCCTATGCCTTTTTCTCATCATCATTTTCCAATTGCCTTTTTTTTTAATTTAAACCTTTCTTATACCCTAACCACTATATCGTCGTGCTAAAATTAAACCTTCATGATTCTCAGTTTTCTTTTTAATTTTTTTTATACAATTTGCGCGAACATCTGTTTTTTTTTTTTTTTTGGATTGGAAATATCCGTGTACTTTGTTATGGTTTTCGTTAGGAACCGATTGGAAATGTGAATGGGTTGAATTTAGATGTTTTGTGTTTCGC